TCCAAGTGACTGTGGGTGGAGTGGTATCTTAATACTAGTCTGGAAGCCCAGAAATGAGCATGACAGATTCGTAAAAGCAGGGGTTAGTAGTGATGTTTTAATTTTTGAAAGACTATTATCTCACTATCACTGCATATGATATGATATCACCTAAATGACCAATCAGAGGGCAGCTTGTTTGTTGACCTTCTGTCTTGTACATCTGCTTCAACTCAACTGAAAGTTTGTGACCATTACCTTAGAAGGTCACTCACTATATTTTGTTATCATAATATATAATAATAATAATATTTATTAGACGCATGAAATCCTTAGGAAAGGATAAAAAGAGTCTTACAAAAAGAAAATTAAAACTAATAGTATAAACAAAGAAAAAATAAAATCACCTCCCAAGCGATGAAAACAACACATGCCAAAACAAAAAGGCTCATGGGTAGTTGCTTGTTTGTAAACAATGACACACTATGGCCATCTGACGCATGCCTAGGTGATGACTCCCTCGCTTTAAAATATAAAACAACTCAAGTAAACCAAAATGAAAAATAAAGACAATTTGCAGCTAATACAGAATACAGAATAAAAAACATTCTCTAATTTCAACCTAATACACTGATAGTTGTAGATGCTTTGTTTCATAGCTGTTTTTTAAGAAGACAGCTAAGGCTGGTGCTAGTGTATGGTTTCCCATAATTAACATCAGAAGAGGTATACATCCATAATTTGGATATGCATATTTATCCCAATTGAGAGACAATATATACTGCATTTCAAGTAGAATAAATATATCTCAATTTGAATATTTTGAAACATCCCAGCCAACTAAATATTAAGGTTCAGTCAGGACTAACAAAAAAGTACACCTGATCAAGATGTCTGAACTCAACAAAATGAAATTAATATATAACATTACATATAACCTGGAAAATATTAACAAACATTTTCAGAAAGCATTCAAGTTCCACATTCAGAAATGAAACATTGAAAATCAACACTAAGATTCAAAACTTGACCATATGTACTTATATTAAAATAACAAACAGGTATTAGACTACTATTTAAACTCAGATTAAAGCAGGAGGTAAGACGTCATCTGCGCATGCGTCAGATGGCCATAGCGTGTCATTGTTTACAAACAAGCATCTACTCATGAGCATTTGTGCTTTCACAGGCTGAATATTGAAACTGGACGCTATCAGAGACCAACAATTCAATTAGACCAGTGAAAATATACAAAATGCAATGAAATTGAAGATGAGATACATTTTATCACTTCAAGCAAACTAATCACTGAACAAAGAAAGACATTGTATTAAATTAATTTTTCTCAAAATCAAATGATCAGTTCAAACACCACATTAAAATTCAGAAGTTTATTCATATAGTCAACAAAAACAAAAAACTATTACTAATGAAACTAACTATTAAACTATATTAAAACAGCAATAACAATTAGAAAACAATTCCTGATTTTTTTATTATTAAACTTTTAGTTTAACAAACCTTTATAATTATAATTTATACCTTTATTACACTTTTTAAACAAACTAGAATTATATTGTTTCTTTATGGTAGTAATAAAGAATTACCTTATCTTATCTTAGGCAATCCTAAACGGTATAGGAAAAAAATATCCCTTAACAGCAAGTAGCAAAAACTAGCCCTGCACAAACTATGTTCAACAACAGACAATGGTGTGTGGCACAATGATTGAATCTGACATCTAAATGTTTCAATAAATGGTAAAAATAAGATTAATAACCAACATAAATAAAATACTATTAGTTCAAAACAATTGCATTTAGCATTGATAGACCCTACTCTTGTGGGCGTGGCAGTGTACTACATACTCTATGGGCGAGCTGCTGTGAAACGCCAGGTTATATCGGTAGTGTCGGTGAAAACAGCTCAAGTTCCAAATGCAATTTTAAAGTTATTCTGAACAACCAAATTTATATATGTTGCACATGTAGAGATAATCTTGATTCACTGTTTATGAGAGTTACAACAACTCCACAGAAGTATATTTTTATAAGTGTTTTTGGCCTTTGTTTCATCATGATTGTTGCCAGGCAGTGAAAATTCCTGGATGTCCATCCCCTGGGAATATGGTCATCATATACACAGAAAGTGTTTTTTTAGTCATGCAGTGTTGATGTGTTTTGCGAATCATTCGATGTGTCAGAGGTAAACATGATAAAGCAGAAGAGAATGCACTACAAGAAAGGCATGCAGTTATGATTCTATTCTATTCTATTCTATTCTATTCTATTCTATTCTATTCTATTCTATTCTATTACCATATTAGTCATGTTTATTTTTTCACAGCATACAATATATATCCAGGTGTCAAAATTTATTCAAAATTTTTTGTTGATGAACATGATATGAGTAGTTCTATGGTTCACCCACAGTCCCTCCATCATATATGATAGAGGGACTGTGGTTCACCTCTAAACTGTCTTATCTAAGAGTTTAGTGAATATTGACAAACCAGCTGCATGTATCAAACAATCTTGCCTTGTATGTGCCTCAAAAGGAAATGGGTCTCTCATAGATTAAATATATGATTTGTGCCTTCAACATGGCGGGAGATTAATAATACTATTAAATTACTAAATATTTTTTTTTTTTTTTTTCAGGAATGGGATAAACAAGGTTTATCTATGTCAACTACCAGTAATGAAGCTGCCAAGCTATATGATGCTTTACTGTCACAGGTATGCCAGTACAGATTGGAATGATGAATGAAGGAGGTATGGTGGAGGTATGGGATGGGGTCATTTCAGGGATGATGCCAGTACAGATTGGAATGATGAATGAAGGAGGTATGGTGGAGGTATGGGATGGGGTAATTTCAGGGATGATGCCAGTACAGATTGGAATGATGAATGAAGGAGGTATGGTGGAGGTATGGGATGGGGTAATTTCAGGGATGATGCCAGTACAGATTGGAATGATGAATGAAGGAGGTATGGGATGGGGTAATTTCAGGGATGATGCCAGTACAGATTGGAATGATGAATGAAGGAGGTATGGTGGAGGTATGGGATGGGGTCATTTCAGGGATGATGCCAGTACAGATTGGAATGATGAATGAAGGAGGTATGGTGGAGGTATGGGATGGGGTAATTTCAGGGATGATTGAAACACAACAATTAGACTTTCGAGTTAATATCAATATTTAGTGCTCATTGTGGCTTACATGTAATTGAAACATAGACCTTAGAATCTCTTTCTAAGGTCTATGATTGAAATTAGCGTTCATGCTTGCCACTGGGAGAGCTCATTGGATTGTGGACTGTCTGATCGTTTCCTCCGTAGTGATTATACATTACGATGTGCATATTGACATTACATGATGGTTGAATTGTATTTTGATAAATCTATTTGAAATATGTCAATATTTCAGTTTCAATTCTGTTCATGACATCATTTCAGTACATTGGTTGGTACGACGAAAACTCTGTTGGTGGTATGGAAGCATGTTGTACAAAATTACTGGATGCAGACCCAAATTGCGGCAAGTAACATTGTGTCTGCTGCTTCTACAGATTGTCATGGCAACTACATTTACCATTCATCACTAGAGCGTAATTTGCTTTCACTTCACAACTCCACTATTGAGGTTTAAGAACCCCCCCAAAAATAGCGCCCTCTGTTGATGATTTTCTTAAACCTGCAAAATTTGTGCGCCATCAAATATTTTATCTTACCACATAATTTTTGAATAACAATTTGACCAGAAACCTTTTTTTTTAAATCTGAGTAGACTTGTGTAACAATGATAATAATTTCACTCTCTACTGTTGAATGCAATATTCAAAAAAATTGTAAGAATGTCTTAAAATGAACAGAATTATGATATTAGTTCCTCTGATTTATTTAAAACCTAGGACTATTCTATGGTTACTGGTATTGGCCTTATTACTTAAATGACAGAGGTGTGTCTATACTGAAAATGTGTCATATTGTAAAATTGACAGAATAATATTAATTTACCATTATAATTATTTCAAGGTATTTTATATTTTGTATTGATCAGTTCTGGGTAACGTTTTGGTGCATGGTTTGGATGTCATGGGTACTGGAAGATCTATTTACCGAGACCCCGAGTTCAAAGCTAACATGGACAACATTGTAAAGTTGGCCGAAACTCCAAGTGTTACACCAAGAGAAAAATTACATGTTGAAGGCATTACTGCTTGGGCATATGGGTAAGAAAGTTATTGTTATAACTATTATTAATATATATTATCTGTCACTGTAATGCCATAAGTTACAGCATGCTGTAATTTTGCAGTATTTTACGGGGTATTTTCATCCTACCATATTAGGAAATGCAAGTTCCAAATATGGAATGATTACACACGTATATTAAAAACAAACATGGCTGCCACCAGGGTTTGACCAGACTCCACACAAAGAAGTTCACTGATACTGTTCTAAACTTTTTGGATTTCGCCATTCCCATGATGTATCCTTGGAAGGAAAAGATGTATAATAATAAGGTTATTTTGAGAATACCTCAAAATATGCACAAAGACAGTACACCATTGCATCGACCTCCACTGCGTGTCAATCAATACTCCCACTGTACTGTCTTCATGCATACCTTGAGGTATCCTTATAATAACCTCATATTATTGGTATCCAGTCTGTAATTTTATTGAGGCGATAAAAATAATAACACCACATAATTTGTTTTTCTTTACGTACTGTTTGACAATTATGACACTTAAATTAATATTGTGACGTTAATTACTGTACTAATTACATCAGTTAGTGATACATTTGTATTTTACCCTGAACGACTGTAAATTTCTTACACCATGGTTATGTGGTAATACATCAACTATAATCTGTGCAGTTTCAAAATACAATAATTTCAAGTATCAGCGTACAATAACTATGCTAATTAGGATACAGAATCCAATAATTATGTATTTACGATATTATTGGGTTCTTGTTGATCTTTTGATCTGATCAGTAGTTCTACATAAATATACCGATAATAAAATCATTTCAGGCTAAATTTAATCTGAAAATATATTTTTTGTATTCAAAATAGAATATAGATGATTCAAACTTCAATTTTGGCAGTTAATTCTTTTCAAAAAGTTCTGTCAATGCAGCTGCTGAGCTGACATACAATAATACTTTCTGAAGATATTTGTTAAGATGACTGTACTAATACATGTACCACACAGTCTTTCTAGCTTGAATAAAAGAAAGACTTTCCCAGGATCAGATCGAGTATAAAACGAATACTCAAAGTTCGCGTCAGTGGAATGTACGAGTGTGGCACATTCTATTATACATATTTTGAATATGTCCCTGATAACGTCTGGTGGCAAACTTGAAAAACAAAAGTTTAGCTGCACTTTAAATTCTTTTCAGCATCAGTTAAAAATGATGTACATATACATGTATAATAATAAAGTTCTATTAACAAAATACCAAAATATATGTCCTCAAACATCATACGATTCAGAATTTGGCACCATTACGTATCTTTACACTGAAATTTGATATAATAACCTTGTATTATTCCATGCAATTAGTATAGTCATTTTAATTTCTCAGTAAAAGTCAGAAAAGTACTGGTACAAGGTTGAGTATTGTTTTTTCTTGATCAATTTAAAGGATGTTGATGCAGCATGTTTAATATGGGACCATAGGGCCATGTTCTATGCATGTAATATACATGTACGTTTGTACGTTATTTGTTTACTCAAATTCAAACACCAAATAACCATGTACTGTTCTGTTAACATTTTGCATGTAGACAATTATGCAGAGGTGGCTAAAGTTTGGCATGCAAAAAACTGGGCAGTTAAGATAAGCTTTTTTGTTTTGTTTTTCAAAATACATAATTATTGTATTCTTATTTTCAGCGAAATTGACAAAGCTCAAATCAAATGGGAAGAGATATTATTGAAGCACCCAACTGATATGTTAGCATTAAAGTTTGCGCATGATTCTTATTTTTATATGGGTTATTCAGCCCAGATGAGGGACTCTCTTGCTAGAGTTTTACCTTACTGGAGAGTGACACTCCACTATATGGGTGAGTTTTTTGATGTGTTTGTTATTTTGTGAGTTGATCTAATGTTGATCCAAA